TCGCTGGGGGGTCCCGCCAAGTCGCTGCCGCACTTGCCCGCCTTGCTGCCGCTGGGCGCCAAGTTGGTCTTGAGCTCAACGCAGCATGTGTTCTCACTGTCTGTGCTGGGGCGGACGGCATCGTCGACAGGCGGGCCTTTCCGCAGGGCATGCAGGTGAACCAGCACGGGGCAATGAACCTCTTGGGTGCGCCTATAGGGCCTCAGGACTACATGGAAGACTACACCCGCACCAAACGTGTGGAGAAGACGGCCGCTTCTGCAAGCTCTTGGAGAGCTCCCTGACCCCCAAACCGGGCTCCAGCTGCTTCGCCACTGCGCTGCCTACAGCCGCATGGTCTTCGCCTTACGAGTCACCCCGCCGCAGCTGCTCGCTGGTGCAGGCAGCGACTTTGACTCGGAAGTCCGCGCTTGTTTGGAGCGCCTCTGCACTGGGCCCCTGACTGGCCAAGCCTGGCTGCAAGCGTCCCTCTCCACCGCTGCGGGCGGTCTCGGGCTGTGACATGCTGCGCGGCACGCCGCCGCTGCGTACGTCGCTTCTCTGAGCGCAGTGCTGCCGCGCTGCCAGTGTCTCGACCCCTGCTACACCAGCGCCTGGCCCCTCGCTGCCACGGCCACCGCCCTCCTCAACCAATCTCTCCTCCCTGCCGACCATCTCTCGGTTCCGCCTTCCATCCGACAACAGCCATTGTCGCAGGCGCTAGACCGCGGTAGTTGAGCAGCTCCTCGCCCCTGGACCAGGGCATGAGGCCTTCAGGGCCAATCTTCTGCTCCAGCGGCAGCCGCGCGTTGGTGCCTGGCTTCACGCTGAAGGCGCTTGGCTTGGACATTGCCCCAGACCTCTTCCGAGTGCTCGTCAAGCTCCGCCTGCGCCTACCTGTTGCTGTGGCGGATGCTGCGTGCCCTCTGTTTGGCGATCACGCCCTTGGTTGCCCGTGTGGTGGTGACAGGACTAAGCGCCACAACCGCTTGCGTTCCGTTTTGGCCGCCAGAGCCCAAGCGGCTGGACTCCACCCTGAGGTTGAAAAACCTGGCCTCTTGCCACCCCGCTCTGACCAGGACGGGCTGCCTGAGAACGAAGTTCGGGACCGCAACGGCCGCAGGCCTGGCGATGTGTATGTCCCTAACTGGGGAGTGCATGGCCCGGCCGCTTTCGACTTGGCCGTCACGACAGGGTTGCGCCACGGCAGCCTGCACCTCTTGGACTCTGGAGCCGGGCCTGTAGCCGACTACGAGGCTCGCAGCCACTTGCAAACGCAAGACCTCTGCACTGCACAGGGCATCCAGTTCGTCCCGTTGGTGGCAGAGAGCCGGGGTCTGTGGGGACCTGCTGCCCTCAAAACC